CCTGGGCGCAGCCCCTTAAGTAAATTCTGCTAGCATCTCCCCCAGCCTGAGCCCCAACAAGCATCAGCAGACTCCAGGTCTTCGAGGGCCAAGGATGCAGACGCGGGGACCTGGAGATGCCGGAAACAGCAAACCTGTAACCTGCTTCTGGGGTCCAAGCAAGAAGTAAAATTGAGCCTAGATTCCAAGTCCTCTGAAGCTCGATCTGTCGTTATGCACTCAGCTAGCTCCCATTCCAAAATCTAAACTGCTCATTTTCAAAATTTGTTGGGAAAGCTCATGTTCACAAGGCCAACACAGTTGCCGGGGTTTCTCCGGGCTGAAGAAGGCTCCTGTGTGACCTTAGTCTCTATCCTCTTCGGCATGCTCCAAAGAGACTTGCCTTTGGTCCACACACTCTTCAGGCCTAGGACTCCTGCACAGCGGCTAAACGAAGGGAAGAAGGAACTGCCTTGCATGGTGTTGCAGCACATTGCATCAACGCCTCAAGATTTGCACGCCTCTGAGTCCGAGCTCTTCAGCTCCACCATGGCAATCGCTCCAGAGCTGGCTGCCTAGCATCAGAAACGATTTGGTGGGTCTCCATATCGATCAATGTGACCAATACTGCCCACGAGAAAGTAGCAAACGCCCAGCACGGAAAGCAAGCGCGAATTTTTAACAAACACACGCGAAAGGAGAATAATGCTGACCTTTGCTGCCAGCAGGAGCCGAAGCAGAGGCAGCAACCTGAGAATTCTACAAGAGGCGGGGTTATGACGCATCAGTCGGTGAGAATATGCATCTACCCATGCAGGCGCTGCATCAGGGAAAATATGCATCATAGGCGAAAGTATACATCACAGGGGGCAAATCCCAAAGTAGACACTGAGTCTAGAAGAGCAGGAAAGAAGCTGCAAAAGTGCCGCTGATGTGCGGGACTCCAACGTTTGCACTACGTTTCGCATGCCTGGTGGCTACCCTACAACAGCGAATCCCCAAGCAAATGCTGCATTTCCCTGAACCGTCAAACCAAGGTTTTTCCTGCTGAGCGGTCCCTATATAAGAGCAACCCTCAACGAACAGAAGAACCCAAGAAGCAATGCCAGGATACTTGCAAAAGCCGCTTAGGTAAGGAGCCAATCGTCAATTTCTGCAGCTTTACCGGGGTCAAGATGGATTGCACTCTTTTCTTTGTTCACTTTATCGAGGCCTGCAACTCTGTTTTGCGCCCGGTGGCATCAGTTTGCAAGTTGCTGCGGCTGCTCACGTGTAGCCTACACCGTGTTCCATACCCTTGACTATGAGGACTTGCAAGTGCAACAACATCCGCCTAAAACCTGTGAAATGCGCCGAAACATGGACTCAACGGCTTGTAACTCCTACGCGTATGTACTAGGGAGTCTTGCAACACGAGCCCGAGAGAAATCCGGCATGTATTAGGGGATTTTGCAAGAGGGGCCCACACTCACCAACACAGCTCGCGCTGGACTGATGGCCCCTGCTCTTCGGCTTTCTCGAGCTGTAGGGCCCAGTAAATGCCTGTGTCATCGTAAAAGGACCTTGGCGGATGAATGCAGAACGCAAGCATCAACAATTTGAAGGCACTAGGCTCCCTGACACTGAGTCCAATGATGGCGGCTGGAGTTCCAACTCTGCAGCGGCCGCACGCAGCCGTCGGCGCCTTCGAGTGGAAAATATCACATGTTTACTCAGAACATCTTCCAAAGGGCTCGGGCTTTTTAGGGTGTTCGGCAATGGTGTGCTGAGGACAGAGCTTTCGGATGGCGGTGTAAACCAGAAGCTCCAGTTGCTGAGCATCACCGGAGCTCCTCGACATGAGAAGCTGTTACATTTTCAAATGAATCCGTTTCCCTTACCTTTTCCTGCCTGAGCAGTGCAACAAAGAGGCCATCCCGGCCCTCGCCAGCTTCGACCTGTCATGGTTTGTCATGGCAAACCACAGCCCTTTTCAGTCGCAAGCCTGTGCCTGCCTTGAAAAACTTTACTTCGACATGCAAACCAACCCGTACAGGTCTGTCTGGCGCTTTTCTTCTTTACCGAAGCCAGCGCTTCACCATGTTCTAGCGCTTCGCTGCTTTTATACTCGATTGCAAAGCCAACACAAGGCACACTATCACTGTTCACTATGAAGGCCATGTACGCTAGTTTTGACAGCGAACTTGCTGTGGGCTTAGTTGTGTGCAAAAGGCTTCTGAGCAGAGTTGGTCGGTTCAGGCTGTCTTTTCTGCTGGCAACTGCAATTGCGAACCTGCGTTCGACGACGTAACGCCAACGAGAAGACCCTTGAGTTTGCACTTGCAATGCGTGTAGCTTTACCCCAGCAAAAATCATCTCAGCAACATCGTGCGGGTCAAAGAACCACCACCAAGATCGCACGCGATTTGCCGCAACAGGCTTGCGACGAATTGGTAATGCGAGCTCTTAGCTTTTCAAGGGGGAAGCAACGCCTTCGCGGGGAAGCTGATGTCAATTCCTATGGTGATACAACACGCAAATCTGCACCGTTGATGCGATCTCAAGGATGATCCAATGCGGCATGCTGTGGCACTTGCTGGCAGTTGCTGACGTCAGCGAGATGCTGCTGTTACTGCTGCTGCATGCAGATTACTGCAATGGTATTTGCTTGAGCACCGAAGCAGAGCTGTACGTTGTGACACAATAGGCAGGCCTCTACCATTGCATCTCCGGCATCATCCAATCGGAACAGCCGGGTAAGACCACTCCAAACGATCTGCGCATTGTGCAGGTAACTGAGAATCAAGCCTTCTTATGCAATTCCTATTAAATGATCAAATGCTGGTTCTGACTTGCGGCAATCAGACTGAGCACAACTGTAAACTGTTTTCACTTCCACCCGCAGGAGTCATTGCTCCAAAGTCCGTGCTGCTTCATTGCTTCCGAAAAGAATATGATTGCCGGCACCTTATCATGCTTGTGCGAATATTTCCTGAAACTACTGACAAAGAAATTGAAAAGTTGTCCTAAAAGGAACCTGGATCACAATGAACACACATATAGATAAACATAGGCACCTGTGTCGTACATATTCCGGGGTAATCTCTTCGCATGTGGAATCCGCACGGGACTAAGACCTCAAATGCTGCATGAATCCAGAGCAACCAAGTTGCTGACTTCTTCAGACACCTGGGCAAGCTGCGCGACTTCATCACTTGGCTGTTTTCGGCCAACCCTACAAACCAGATAGGAGCCACAAAACCGAATGCAGACACGTGTCATGCACATGCAATGATAATAACACCCCACAAGCGAAACCACTTAGGAGACGTAGGTCCGGGGTCATCCCTTTCTCCTCTTTCTCTTCCTCTCTCTTTTCGCCTCTCTCTTCTCTCCTCTCTCCTC